TTAATACAATAAAATTAAATGTCTCCAGATCTTTAGACCGCATCGAGCTCGAACAGTTGTTAGTCTCAGTAAATCAATTTTTTTTTAAATTGATTTTGCTGCTTCTCGTTCACCCGCTCAAGAGATTTCAGAGATAGGTTTTGTTTCTGCTGCTGCTGTTTACGTCATTAAAGTTTTCAGTGGCTGTTGCCATTATCGTGATTGACGTTATTGTTATTCTGTCTTCCTTTATATTGTCGTCCTTGTCGTATACTTGGGTTATTAAGCAAGCTTGTTTGGCAAGATGGTTGGAATGATTGGCCACGTACATTTTCTTCGCGTGTATGGACGAAAATGGAGTCGAGGTCCATAAACATGAACAAAAAGGACGAGGCCAGTCTCCAGACATCTTGACCAAAGCCTCTTCAAAGAGTTATCATTTTTGTTTGTTTGTTTGTTTTTTTTTTACACGTTTAAAGACAAAACTGGCCGTAAACTTTTACCACCCAAACAAATTGGCTTAAATAGTGCAGAAATATTTCTTAGTCTAGGTACATCATTATGGTACTATCTATTGATATATTTCTCAATCCTTTGCCGAAAAGGGTCAAAGTAAAATGGTGTAGGTTGTAGGCATATTTTCGATGTCAATCAACAACGTCACAGTACGTTTAAGAAGAGAGCCTATGAATAGTTCGATTGCGTGTACCAATGCAAATGAAAATGCCCAGTGAGAAGTTAGAGTGGTATTTAAGAAATAANAGAGAGCCTATGAATAGTTCGATTGCGTGTACCAATGCAAATGAAAATGCCCAGTGAGAAGTTAGAGTGGGATTTAAGAAATAAGTTTAAAATTTGTTTAAAAAAAAAAAAATCCACTCACAGGCTATATAAATGAGACTAACCTGGTTGAAACAAGGATATTCTCTATTATAAAGACTTGAGTCTTGACCTGAAGAACACTAACCAGAGGCAATTACAACACTGTTGATGTGGGCGGATGTTGTTTAATTTGCGCTGTTTGCTATTGAAGGGACTGAAAATCCATTACGCGAGGTTAAACATTTAATTTCGATATCACATGATATAGGTAGTATATCGTCAAACCAGCTGCAGGTTGTAAATCTAACGTGGCAAGAACGGAAAGAATTAGTGTCTGAAGCGTTGAAAACGTAGGGTAAGATAATGTATCTTGCGTTTTATCTGCTAAACTAACCTGCCAGTAATTAAACCGATTTTTCATACTGAGAGGAAATTAATGAAATGGGTTAATTCTTGAGAGACCAATCGCGAACGAGGAACTTGTAAACATCATATATCTTTGAGCACGCTTTCTAAAAAGCATGTTTTAATTCTGAAAATTTACAAGGTAATTAATATTGGCAATAGGTATTTTTTCCGAAAGCAATTATAAGAAAATATGAAAAATGACAATTCCGGTAGCACTGTGGTGCAACAAATCGAGAAGTGATTAGTATCCGAAAAACGAAGAAAGATTGGGATGGGAAAAAGATAACCTGTATAAAAAGATTATTTGAAGCTCGTTCTAATGTCTATAAACGAATTGGCATTTACTTACTGACCCCATGGGAAACAATTACAAATTATTGGACGGGGTTGAGCAAAATATAATGATTTGAAATTGGTGAGCAGATCAATTATTTGCAGAAGCGGAAGGATGCCGAAAATAATTGATCTGCGCTACATTGACAAATCATGATATTTCGCGATAACCGAGTTCAATAATTGTTTTATCATTCGATCGCCAAGCTTGTTTGGATATTTAGATCACTCTCTCACAGTTCAAGGAAGCGATCTGCCATTTTTCACACAAGAGTTTGGTTGCAATTACTTATGAGCAGAATATTATTTGCAGGAAAAGAAATTTAGACGGGCTATGCAAGAGCAGACGAGTATTTGAAGTGGACGAGTAGTTGTGCTGTGTTCTCAGGCAAGAAAGTTGACCCTTACATTGCCTCTCTCCACCCAGGAGTGTAAATGGGTACTGGTGAAATGTTGGAACAACCTGACAGAGTGCTGGGGAGCAACCTCCGATGGCACGGTATCACATCCAGGGGAGAGTAGCAGTAGCCACTACAGAAACTGGAGTTGAGCGACGGATCTAACATCTACAATGTGGAACCGTTTTTTTCCTTGTTCTAATTTTTCGAGATGTTTCTGTTTTCTTTCCACGATCCGCAAAAAGGGCTCCTGCAAAAAAATAAATAAATAAATAAAAAAATAAGACAAAAAACAAAACAAAACAAAACAAAAACAACAACAACAACAACAAAAAACACAATAAATAAATAAGCCGCAAAATTTGCTCTTCTTTGACATTACACATACAAACATCGAAAGGGTCTATTTTACTATTTTCAAATCAAGTAATAGGCGCTAAATAACCCAAAGGAGTGTTATTTGACATACGTTCAGTAATATTCAATTACTTTTATAATGACTTAAATAAATTCATTTTTTTAACTTGGAAAATATTATTTTCCAAATTATAGTGGTAGAACGATTTCACTCCATCACTCCTTCTCTCTATCACTCCTTCACTCCTTCATTTCCAGTTAGACATTTGGAAACCCGGGGGGAACTCCCATATGAAAAGGCAAGGGATGCTCGTCGGAAAATATGAATTTAACTCCTAAGGGAGACTAATGTGGACGTTGCTTGAGCTTCATTAGACCCGTAAAAGATACCACTTAAAACGGTTGGATCACTACCCACTGTTGAAGAGCATCCCCGACCTTTTCATAGAGGAGTCCCCCGGGTTTCGAACATCAGCCGTCTAAGGCCGTTTTACAATCGCTTGCAGCGTGTCAAGTTAGTTATTTTTGAGAGGTAGAAGGTATAACGATTTTTCATTGTGAGGAAAATACTTATGGTTCTTCCTTAGCGATTCGATTCAGGGAAAGTCTTCGTGGTTTTTCCTTCACAAAACTACGTGTTACTCTGAGTTCGAAAGCAATCGATATAAACGAATGATTAAAAGCTCGCTCTAGACAATATTATTAACACAAGAAACGGAAAGACAAACGCTACCTTTCGGTAAATGGTTTCTTGACAGAAAAAGAAAAAACAATTAAGAAGAAAAGGAAAAATTACCTTTAGTCACCACTAAACTTCGATCTCCCAATGTCTCGCATGGCGAGCCGGCGCTTCTCACACTGCGCTACTTGTACATCAATTGCCGCCATTGTAAAATATGAATTATTTATTTACGTACCGCAGGCTCAAGTGTTTCGTTCAGTCTATACTTCACTTTTGACCAAACAAAATGATCTTGCCGTTTTTGACTACAGCACAAGAAAGACATGTACAGATACATACAATGCAAAACGTGTAGGCAGGCCTGAGTAACAAACACTCCCTTAACGGTTTACTTTCTCTTTTTTTCAAATATCACAACTCACCCCTGAATGGAAAAAGGCGTTACGGGCTTGTTCGAAAGCTGGACTGCCCTCACATCACAAGTAGTTCCTTAATGCGCAGTGCCTTATAACACCCTTTGTTTTCTTCTTTTGTTCTTTTTCTGAAGGGGTTGGGGCACGAGGAAACCCGGAAAAGGAGCTATACACGTCTTTAAGTATCTCGAAAAAGGAGATCCCGCTCTCAGCTCATACCACATTCCACATGTCTACATGTGTGTGTGTCCTTGTAAAACGTAGGAAAGTTTAGAAGAGTTTTGAACTAACACTGTCTTCAGTAATTTAGAATAGATAGTTTACTAATTCATCTTAACTGTTCCAGAGTTCATTTTTGTGTTGTTTTTGTTGTTTTGTTTTGTTTTGTGTGTTTTTTTGGTGTGTGGTAGACAACTTAAACTTGCATACTCAAAAAAAGGAACCAAAAGGCGCAGGCGCCTGATCGAACGTATCCTTTATTGGAAACGTTAATACTAACTACCTATTAACCTAAAGAAAGGTCTTTGCGGGAAAACATCAAACCGAGACCTTGTCGTATTGACCAATAGGGAGTTTAAGTAACAACGACGGCGATGCCGAGGACAACGTCGATTAAAAATGACTTTATATTTTATCTACGAATCTCACGGTACTCGAAAGTTATTTACTTTGTTTATCACTATCAAAACTTTCACGAAACTGAATCTGGGACATAGCGATAAACTTGAAATAAAAATTTAAAAAATTAGCCGTCATGGTTCACGTTCTCCAGACAACGCAGAATTTGGTCATTTCACGTTGTTGTTTTGCCGAGGACGGTAAAGAAAAAAATGCACTAAGAATTATAACGCACGTGCACAGCCATTGCTCTTCTCATTAAATCTTCTGTTTAGCGACGTTCCCGTTGCCGTTGCCGTCGTGGTTTCCTTAAACTCCCTGATAGCGAGGTCAACACGGCAAGGGCGGGCTTTGAGATTTTCCCGTAAAGACCGAACGTCTGAGGTCAATAAGTTGTTTATTATACGGCTTTTTGCTTCGTTTTTGCAGACCCTAATCGGCCTGTGCACATAACGGGAGAATAATGCTATAGTATTAGCCAAATAATGCCCTAGTATCACCCTAGTATTAGCCAGTGCGCGCGTTATATCAGCTGCAAACACAAGTCATATAATAAGTTAGGGTAACT